CGGATAAACAATGCATCAGACACGCTCAGGCACGCTAACTGCACAAGCGTAGCCATGGTTTATTGTTGCGTGCCGCTGTGTAAGTCACAGCAAGGGAAGACACCGGGTGTGTCGTACCACCAATTTCCTAGCGATGAGGAACTGTGTTCGAAATGGAGGAAAAATGTTTCACGTGAAAACCTCGTCATCAATGACAAGTCCGTATCGACTGTAGTGTGCAGCAAACACTTCACGGAAAATGACTATGTTCCCGGATATCGTATCCGGAAACTGCGTCCAGGAGCCGTGCCCACGGTCTTCGATCAGTATCCTTCGTATATGGTCCCGGCTACGAAGAGGCCGCGTAAAGAACCTGCAGCGCGTGGCCCCTCGGCCACCTCGGCTCCTCGACAGCCGACGAAACGGAAAGCGGAGTCATCGCCGTCTACCTACGGGGAGTGGATACATCGTGAAGCTCGTCAGTGAGTTTGAGTGTGATGCTTGTGTTACGATGCTGACGACTACGAACAAAGCTGATCCTTTGTATGTTCTGTTGCACAGCCAGGACAAAAGTGCACTCCACTACCCAAACCGTATGTTTTTGACACTGTTGGACAACATTGCTACTTTCTTTGAAAAAGCTGCTAGCAAACTTCCGCGTACAAAAGTGCATGAAGTGCTGCAACTTCTGGTTACCCCACACCTCGAACAATCACCCGTCCTCCTCTGCCCAGAGAGTGTAGACAGCAGCCACGCAAGGCGCACAGTTCGTTTAATTGCGGACAAATTCATCCGACTTCTTCTCGTTAACTACACCAAGATGGTGAGCGATAGAAATGAAAAACCACTTGCGTATGTGCCCAAGTCGTCTAGAAAATATTTCAGACCGTGATGACGGTATGTCATGGAGGTTCACTATATTTGTACCATGCATTTGTGTTTGTGTTAATTTGTATTGCTAGCATGGGTTTGAAAGAAAAAGGTATTTGTGCTCACCTCACACAGAAATTGTTTTTTTATTTAAGTTCTAGTCCACCTTACGACAAAATAAATATTGCTTTTTCTCTCTGAATTTTGTGCGCTGTAATGAATTACTGTTGTTTGTGACAACACGCGTGTGCGAAAATCCGGGAAAGCTGCCGGAATGGTTGCGATTGGGTAAGCGGTGCTCTCAGAGGTCGACTATACCATTTTAACCTCATCACATGCAACGACTGAGCTGTATTGTGTGGATAAAACGTTCATCTTCAAGAATTCAGGCGCCGCAGTTGGTTCTGTTCCTCGTACTCAGCGCTGGAGGCGGCGGAGCATGGATGGATGGATGGATGGAATATGGCTGTACCCTTTAGATTGGGCGGTGGCTAGCGCCACCAAGCCGTAATACTTAATGAACTCCAAACTATATTTATTTATTTATTCCTTAAAAAGTGAGTTTGATGATTCGTACTTTGCAGTGAAGAGTTTAATTTTCACTCGTGCCTTGACTTTAGCCACCAATCAGATAACCTCCTTCTAGTTAAGTCTACTTGCTTAAAGTCTATTTTGCCCTCCCGGTCCCTAAACCCCAGTGCTTTGAAAAACTCTGCACCATCATCCTGAACTATAGGGTGAAGCCCTTTACAGAACATTATCAAGTGTTCGGCAGTTTCTTCTTCCTCTCCACACGCACTGCATACTGTGTCTACCCCTTCGTATTTGGACCGATATGTCTTGGTTCACAGTACTCCCGTCCTTGCCTCAAACAGTAAAGAACTACCCCGAGTGTTATCATAGATCCTTTCCTTGGCAATTGCCTGCTTAAAAGTTCGATAGATCTCTAGTGCGGACTTCTTAATCATGCCCATTTTCCACATGTCAGTCTCCGTTTCCTTCACTTTCTTCTTAACCGATAGTTCTTTTTGGTTTGACCACCTGCTGTTTTCTAAGTATTTACCAGTCAACTTCCTGGTTCGCTTCCTCCATTTTGTATCGACATTCTTCATGTACAAGTAGCTGAAAACCTTCCTAGCCCAACGCTCCTCCTTCATTTCTCTCAATCGCTTCTCAAATTTTATCTTGCTGCTAGCTTCCCTGCCCTCAAATGATGTCCATCCCATATCACCTTGTGCTCCCTGATTTGGTGTATTTCCGTGAGCTCCTAAAGCAAGCCTACCTATTCCACGTTGCTTAATTTCTAATCTTGCTTGAACTTCTGATCTCATGCACAAGACCGCATTGCCGAACGTCAGCCCAGGAACCATGACCCCTTTCCATATTCCTCTCACAACATCATACCTATTGTAATTCCACAGTGCCCTATTTTTCATGACTGCTGCATTCCTGTTACCTTTAGTCGTCACGTATATTTCGTGTTCCCTCAGGTACTCGGTCCCATTGCTTATCCATACGCCCAGATATTTGTATTTGTCTGTTATCTCTAGCGTGACGTCCTGTATCCTAAGCTCACTACCTTCGTTGTCATTGAAAATCATGACTGCTGATTTTTCCTTACTGAATCTAAAATCTAACCTATCTCCCTCATTACCGCAGATGTCCATCAATCTCTGCAAATCTTCCTTGTTGTTGGCCATTAGCACTATATCATCTGCGTACATTAATGCTGGTAGTGCCTGATCAATAAGTTTTTGCAACAGTGCAAACAATAAGCATGGATGGATGGATGGATGGATGGATATGGCTGTACCCTTTAGATCGGGCGGTGGCTAGCGCCACCAAGCCGTAACACCTAATGAACCAAAAATTATATTTATTTTTTTTTCCTTAAAAAGTGAGTTTGAGGATTCGTACTTTGCAGTGAAGAGTTTAATTTTCACTCGTGTCTTGACTTTAGCCACCAATCAGATAACCTCCTTCTGGTTAAGTCTACCCGCTTAAAGTTTATTTTGCCCTCCCGGTCCCTAAACCCCAGTGCTTTGAAAAACTCTGCGCCATCATCCTGAACTATAGGGTGAAGCCCTTTACAGAACATTATCAAGTGTTCGGCAGTTTCTTCTTCCTCTCCACACGCACTGCATACTGTGTCTACCCCTTCGTATTTGGCCCGATATGTCTTGGTTCGCAGTACTCCCGTCCTGGCCTCAAACAGTAGAGAACTACCCCGAGTATTATCATAGATCCTTTCCTTGGCAATTTCCTGCTTAAAAGTTCGATAGATCTCTAGTGCGGACTTCTTAATCAGGCCCATTCTCCACATGTCAGTCTCCGTTTCGTTCACTTTCTTCTTAACCGATAGTTCTTTTTGGTTTGGCCACCTGCTGTTTTCTAAGTATTTACCAGTCAACTTCCTGGTTCGCTTCCTCCATTTTGTATCGACATTCTTCATGTACAAGTAGCTGAAAACCTTCCTAGCCCAACGCTCTTCCCCCATTTCTCTCAATCGTTTCTCAAATTTTATCTTGCTGCTAGCTTCCCTGCCCTCAAATGATGTCCATCCCATATCACCTTGTACTCCCTGATTTGGTGTATTCCCGTGAGCTCCTAAAGCAAGCCTACCTATTCCACGTTGCTTAATTTCTAATCTTGCTTGAACTTCTGATCTCATGCACAAGACCGCATTGCCGAACGTCAGCCCAGGAACCATGACCCCTTTCCATATTCCTCTCACAACATCATACCTATTGTAATTCCACAGTGCCCTATTTTTCATGACTGCTGCATTCCTGTTACCTTTAGTCGTCACGTATATTTCGTGTTCCCTCAGATACTCGGTCCCATTGCTTATCCACACGCCCAGATATTTGTATTTATCTGTTATCTCTAGCGTGACCTCCTGTATTCTAAGCTCAAAGCAACAGTGGTCTAGCAGCGCCACCCCGAACTTGCGGCGGCAGGCAGCAAAACGCCCCAATGCGGAGGCCGTAAGAGGAGCGCCGGTAGAACTTCTAGTACACTCTAGCGCCAGAGAAGGAGTCGAGTCCGGCCGTGCGTATGCGTAGAGATGGGCCGGCTCATTTGATCTCTGCTTCAGCAGCGCTCGCGCGCTTTTAACCAACCTCTAAAAGTTACGATGCGCGGGGGCATGTTCTCTACTTGGACTTGTTACGAAACATGGCGGCGACGGCAAAAGCCCGTTGAGAGCGCCGAAAAACTGCTATCGTAATAATAACGCAGTTTTTTTTTGTTACCGCTAAATAAGTGTTTTGGGTTATCTCTGCCTTCAGTTACCTTTTTGTTAAATTGGTGCGTAAATTTTCGAAATTTTCAGGGAATGAGTCAATTTCGTTTTATCCAGGTTTAACTTTAGTTCCAAATCTGGTTTAATACCCTTAAAAGGACACCTTGCAGTCTCACGGAAGAACAATGTTTCATGCACAACCCCAACTGCAGTTGCCGATTCGTCACGGATAAAACCCCAATTCCTACGCATTACAGAGGCCCTGCAACAATATTTCAGTCAAGAGAACGCTGCAGACCGGTACTCCAGGCTCCGGAGCTGCCTCGAATTTACAGTTTTCAAAGTCGGCTAGAAATGGCTTCGAATTGTCATACAGCCAAATGACCACGCCATATACCCATATTCCGCGCCATTGGCCGATTTGAGCACCGCAAAATGCACTCGCGATGCCCAAGGTCACCGAGAAATATCACCACGTGCTCGCACTCACACTGTAAGTAATGCGCACATTCGAAAAAAAAAAAAACGAACAATAAAAGCGCTGAAGGTCATGACCTGCACGTGACATCTTTCCCCTGTGCCATCTCTCCTCGCCCAGCTTCCAGTGTACACGTGAGGACCAAAGAAAGCAAGCAATTACAGCATACTGTTAATGTAACTTCGCTCCTAGGAGACAAATTCTAAAAACTTTTGTGGCGATCAATTAGTGAGGTGCTAAACCAATAATCTTGAATCCTTTAACAAAGCAATTTGATGGCCTCTAGAAAAATTGTAAGGCCCTTCTATATATGATAAAATTTTGACTACATAACAGAAAAAATACTTTAATCTCATCACACCATTGGTTTGTGCAATTCAAAGGCAACCTTTCCAAAGTGCGATGGAACGGAATCATGATAAGCCCCACTTTAGTCCACCATGTTTCATTTATTGACATTTTTTTCTGAAAACAATGTGTTGCACTAGCACAGAAAAAAAGAACAAAACAAGGCTTGAAAGCATCAATGTCACGACACAAGAGTGACCAAAGTACAACAAACAGCCTTACACCAGCCACATGCCCATAGAAAGCAAACAGTGAAATGCTTGCAAACAAGCCTACATCCACAAAGGTTCCTTCTCAAACAGAAAGGTAAACCTGTTAAACAGACAACAGTGGCGGAGAAAAAAAATAGAAGACATGCTCACGACAAGACTGTACTACCTAATATAGGTCGTACAAAAATGCTTTTCCAGCCAATGCTTCTCTCACTATATCAACATAAAAAAAAAAATAATAAGTGCCCACTTATTCCTTACTGTGCTGCCAAAAGTTTTGCATGTCAGTCACATCATTCGATGAAGCTCTGTGCAGGATCTGCTGACAGCACTTACCATAGTAGCATAGATGCATTAACGTAAAGTGAAATGCGGGAGAATATAGGCAGGAAAAGCAGCATAGGTGAAGGCAACCCGTCACAGCGCTTCTAAACAAAAACTGCGCTGAAATCTTCTTGCCATGACCAACTACGTTGGATGGACATGGAAAAAGAGCCTCTCAACCAACTGAAGTGTCTTGTAACACAAGTGGCTTTCATTTCAACACATTGTTGCATAATCGAAGCCTCTGCTTTTCCCATCCACATCACCTGGTGTAGCAGCGTGAGCGTGTGCAAGTACACCGAAGCAATGATAAAACAATTCACAAAGCTGTTCCAACCGTGGCCCTTTCAAGGTGGGTTTAAGGCCAACACATGCCTCAGTGAATTACCGCAAGACTTGCCTATGATTCACAAGCTACAAATGTACCAACCATTCGGCTTGTTGTACAAATGCTTTCTAAAATAGACTGAGATGGCGGTACCAAAGCCACTGATCAAACAGTCCACACATGCATGCACAATGTGCCCTCACAGAGCATTTAAAGAGACAATGCTGGTGCATTTGCACTATCTGATACAAAAACTATCTCGAAGAGCCAGGCGACTTGGAGCCCAATGCAGAAGGTCCTTACATATGCCAAGTGGCTTTATTTCATTCACGCTAGCACTTTATTTAAGAGAACAGAGTGGCATGAACATACATACTTTGAAGATTCAGCGACTCTTTTAAACAAAAAAAAAAAGCAGCACAGTGTGAAAAAAAAAGTGACAAAGACAACAGTGAACAGTCAATTGTAGTGTTCTCAGAGTTCACCACCATGACTTCAACTTCTGTACAAATACTATCGATAAAACGAACTCGTGCAGGCACAAATTAGAGCAATGACTAGATGCCAGCATCCCTTTCAGTACACCAGTACAAACGCAAAGGCACCCGGAACTAAACTCTTCGAACACGTCAGACGGGGAACTTAGATGCAATGTGCAAACAGGTACTGTGCTTCTATGACACTGCATCACACGTTGCCTTAACGAAGCCTAACGAAGCTCCAGCCTTTTCTTATAAAATTCTGAACATCTCAGAAGCCATGAAAATATGGTAAGCTACCTAACAGGCCTTTTGCATTAAGATGTTCTGTAACAAACTGCATGAAAAAGCTACAACTCAAACTGGCACGGAAAAAAAACAACAACATATAATTGTGTCGTGCATGCGAAATCACTCATAGCACGGCGATTTCAAATTTATCAATGAGGCAGTGCCACGAAGGCAAAAAGGCAAATTACATTGATCCATGCATACACACACAACTGTAACTCCCAACCCCTGCAACCACGAACATTTGAACGGGTTGGAAGCAAGGTTTCACCCAAGAGAGAGAAAAAAAAAGATGCGTTTCTTTTTCGTATCAAGACAAGTCACTGTGATGCGCAGAGCAAATGCGCCAGGGACGTGGCATCCATAAAAAAAGGAAGTGAAGAATCAACCACTTTGCAAGAGAGTTCTTTTGATGCACACAAAAGGAAGGTGGTTGCAGGTCAGGCACGTTGAACCACCAGAAGCTGTCTATGTAATCCTGTCCTTCCTAAAAGGCCAAGCGTGGGGAAAGGAGTCCAGGGAATCCGCAACATTGCGGGAAGTGGGAGATGCTTTGCCACGGGTCACGACTTGCAAACATGCTTGTCTATGGTCTATGTCCCGGATTTCGTCAGCCTACTTGTCCTGCACAGCCAACGTTTGCTTCTCACTCACTAAAGCTGGATAATGACGTATCACTTGGGTGCTTTATTTATCTTCATAGACGTGCTGTAAAAAATAGATTCAGAGAGCATGAAAAAAGATGACCCCAAGGCAGAGATGAACAAGCATAATGAACATCTGCTTAAAATTTAAATTGATGACTTCTTGTGACAATGAAAGCTGGTGACTTTTTTCCAGACATGCATGCATTGCAAGACCAGTGTCTACATTCAAGATGCGCTTTCCATCACTGCGCGTGAAGCCAGATTATGTATTTCAAATTGTCATACATAGCTGGCTGTTCCCCGCACAATCGCTTAGTTTCGGAGGTCTCAAATACATCAATTTCAGGAATGCACCCTTTATGAGCTGGAGCAGTACACGCAGTTAGCTAACAAACTCTTACTCAGAGTGAACTCACCTTTTTCGCTACTCGAACTCATTCTGACGATATGAATTTTGGGTGAAATCAATATTTTCTGCTACGCGACAAAATTTGTGTCACTGAGGATAACAAGAGAGTTGACCTACTCGGTGAGTAGTCTCTCTGCTTGTTATGCAACATCAGTAACAGTGACAATGCATAATGAAAATTGCACGGCAACCACTGTAATGCCATGTCAAACATTTGTTAAGCAAGTGCACATCCCTCTGTACCCTATAGCAAAGGTGAAATAGAGAGCCAATACGCATACCTTCTTTAGTCTGCCAAGGAGCTCTTGTTAGGACGTGTGTTCAACTTCGGTGACAGTGATACCACTTTGCTCTAGGTGGGCCTTCAGAAGCTGATTGGTGGCCCTGAGCTGTTCACACTGTTGTCGCAGCAAATCCAAATCCAAAGCCAGCCGCTCGTTCTCCTTCAGTACCTCAGGCAGTCGTGCACAGCTTGCACGCAATTCCTGAATGTAGTCACAGGCCTTTGCCAGGATACCGCCCTTGCTGTGAAGGTGTACGGACGATGGCTGCGTTGTAAAAAGAAGAACTTCGATTGTATGGGAATACTTGCAACCACTGTGTTTGATTCTGTTCCATAGCAAATGCCGGCACTTTTTTAAAGAGGCACTAAAGGCAAATAGCACTTTGTGTCAGAGTTAAAGCTCAAACTATGACGTTTAAGGGGAGATGCTACTCGAAAAACGATTTTCTTTAATAAGAGTCTGAATTTAACACAAATTGGCATGCTAATAGAGTTTTTTCTCCTCTTTTCAAATATGTCATTTATTTTCATGTAGATTGCTTGGTTTTCTTTCTGCAGGTCAGATACTGCAAAATTATGGCCATTGTTATGCAACAATTCTGACCTATAAAAATTTGAGATGCAGATATAGCTGACTATGATCCTTTGGAACTGTAGAGTGCAAAAAACTGTATAATTTTTGTGTGTAAAAAGGTGAAATACAATAATAAAATAGAAAAATTTACTATGGCTCTAGTTGCCAAGGGCTTTCAATGTTATGTAATTTTTGAAAAACATAATCAAGCAGCACTGACAATCTGAATAGATACTTGCACTCTATGGGCCTTCATCATGATATGTGCAAAATTTCATAGAGGTATAACAATTCTAAGTATACGAACTAGTGTGTATAAGAAGCACCGATCACACAAAACTGCAAGAGGAGAAAAACGCACTTGAAAGTCTGAAACCTTTTTTTTTATCACAGAGTTGTTAGAAATGCATAGTTTTTGGCCATAATGTTCAACAGAACTTTGAAAAGCACTGCAAGTTACTAGAACTGTCCTGCTGCATAGGTTGTGCCCTCACGGTTCTTGCGAGCACTCTCTTTAGCCGTGCCCTTTTCACTCCACGACGACGGTGGGCCCGTGCTTCTGCTGTCAGACGCTCGGACATTCTCTTGATGCCCCTCGCGTCGCGGGAATCACTGAAAGTAACTAGATCTCTAGATGGCAGTATGTTGAGCTCTTCCAGGATGTGCTCGAAAGTAGCATGACCCTTGTTGAACCACAGGATTGCCATAGCTGCGGCAGTCTCGACAACCGTTCGGGACACAAACTTAGTCTTGGGGCAAAGTAGTCAAATTTTGCTGTTCAGGGATTCCGATGCGTTCTGGGTTTTTTTTTTTTGATGCATCGAGCAAGGAGCTTCTGATCCGTTAGCCGCTTATAAATGGGCAAAACAGCCAATCCCTGTGCTTTTGTCAGGAGAGGTGTGTGGCGTGGTGCAGGTTCACCAAGTGCTTCAGCGCGTTGATGTTTGCACCACGACTCTGTTCCTGCAGGGCAAAACTTGTGGCTGCCAGCATTGTCAGTAGAGCATGAGTGGAAGTACGAAGCCCATACTGTAGTGTACATATCCCGTACACTCCCCCTGTTGCTTGTTGTGGCAATCTGATAGTATGTTTGGAGCTTCTGAATGGCTGGCTCTTTCATTTTCTGCCCTCGTGGTAATGGCACATGCAGCTTCCGTAGCGCGGTGCCAAGTCTCTTGGCCACATGATTAGTGCAGTCTTCTTTTTCTATATTGACAGCACCATAGACTTTTGACTCTGCAACTGCACTATATGCTTTGGTGTCACCGTCACTCAAGAATGTCATGAAATGCAGTGGGGTGTCATAAGTAAATGTTCTCTGCCAAATGCGCATTGCAGCCTCCGTTTCTATGGCATGGGAGGAACAGTTTGCATTTTTTTCACAGACTGGGCCATGGAATGCCTGCCACACTTCCTCGTCTGGGCCCATATCCTTGTGCCTACTGCATGTCAGGCAGTAATTTGATATGACCTCGAAGTCTAAGCAGAGGCCAGTATCTAAGGAGATAACTGCGCCAATCTCGTTGTGGCTTTTGTGGGCCCTCTTCTGCCAAGTGCCGTCGAACATAACAGCCACATCAGTTTCGCCTGCTAATTCTTTCGTCAACTCTCTGGATCGGCGCAAGTTTTCACTCACAGCTGCCATGACAATGGTGTGCACCTTCTTTGCTATCGAAAAAAATCCTCGGCGGTGCATTGGCTTGGGAGTCCAATAATGGAGCAAAATCTCGACGATTGCTCATGCCCAATGCCGACAGCGCTTGCAGCCACCACGCCTTCACATTTACAGCGAAACTATCTCGGGAGCTCCACTGTCGTACCGTTGGCTCACTCGCTGCTGCCCCGCCGTAACACGCAGTGACGTATAGGAGCACGAAGAACAGTTGCTGAGCATTCGCTGTTTTCGCAATGAAGTTCAAAGAGCGCGAAAGTCCCTTGCGCTTTTCTGCCGGCTCCCGAAACGCCCAAGTTTTTGAATACCGCAAGCAGGGCATGCCACACCTGCCACAAGTGCCGTCAACAAGAGGGTGTCGCACAAAACTGTCGTTGCACAAACCTCATTGCGCTGTCTTTCTTTTTTGAAGAAGCCGAGTTCTTTTCCGAAGCACTGACGAAAGAAAGCGCAGCGTCAATCCCTTCATCGCAGTCACTGTCGCTCGCGCACTCGTCGATGCCGCCGTCAGGCCTAGCACGCGTAGGCGCATTCTCGTTCATCGCCGTCATTCGGGGCGCTTTACGCCGCCTTCCCTTGAACTTGTGCTTCGTTCGAAACTTCTGCGGTCTCACGTTGCACTTTTTCGGGCTTGTCATCGCGGAAATAGCGTAGACGCGCAGAAATCAGCGGACCAAATGCCGATGGCCGCCACCAACACAGCTGAGAATGACTCGGTGGCCAATGGCGATGCGGCTAGGGTGCCGCGTGTTTCAAACCGCTCAAACCCTGTGATAAAAGGCCTCGTTTTTTATTTTTTTGCCCACGTACGAAACTTGGGGTCGTCGGAGCTGTAATAAGAAGGCCGGACGCAACTTTCCCAAACGATCGCGATGGCGGGCGGCACTGCGACAGGGAGCAGCGCGCAGTCAAAGATGGCCAATATTGGCGAAAATTCACGAAATTTTGAGCCACCGCGATGCCTTCATACGCATTTTTTTGCATTTTGCGGTTCGAATTTAGTTTTGAAATTTTCACAGATGAAAGAAGAAGGTTTGAAGATTACAATGCAATAAAAATCAGAAATACGAGAAATTTCGCTAAAAACGCGATTTTTCGACTCGCATCTCCCCTTAAGACGACAACATTATGAAGAGCAGTGCCTCACTTACTAAGCAATTACGCCAAATGGTCACACGACGTGCACCCCGAGTGGGACACTTCTGAAATTATCCAAATGACGTGAGAGCATACGGCTCCAATTAATCACTAGTAATCGAACAAGCAGCATATAAAAAAGTCCGTTCCGTACATCAGGAGACGTAATAAAATGCTGCTTGTCCGTTTTGTTTGATTTATACAAAAAAGAAAAAGAAACACCTGGCTTTACTATGAGGAATGGCACCAGTGGTTCAAAAGTCCAGTTTTTGGCTGGTTAGGTTGTGGCATCTAGCAGGGCCCAGTTAAACAAAGCAAGCAGAACCACAACTGCCATTTCAATAATCAGCATCGACTTAATATTTACTATTAGTATACCTTTAACACCTGTTTTGTAGTTATCTATATGTCTTCTAACTACTGCTCAAAACTGATTTACATAGTTCAAAGCCAGCACCGTAATGAATTATGTGATACTAGGAGTAGCCAACACAAGCCAAGCCAGTAAGTTAGGCAACTGCAAAAGCAATGCAACAGCTTAGCAGCTTCACAGAAAAGCTGTAACAAATTAAATGTTAATGATGATCTGAACCACAAAGTGAATGGGGAAGTTACCATACTCAATGGAAACAATCATAAAGAGTGCTCTACGTTAGCAATTTCATGTCTTTCATGCACCATTCCTCTGCGCACACTCGTTCCCGTCTATTTTAGTAATTCACTGGGAAAAAAAGACTGTGCACATTGAGCCTCTTCATTGTCCCAGACTCGCATTAGATTGTACTGCTAGTATGTTGCGTGGGCGCAGGCAAAGCAGGGTTGTAATTGAGCTTGCTTATACATACTGTCACCAAAAAATAGCGCTGGATCAACAAGGACACAATACGATGCACAACAAAGCGGGGGTGGGACAGGGTACATGGGTTTGGGAGCGGTCCTAGGAGCGGGCACAAGTGCCTTCCATAACAGGCGTGAAGCATTCGAAAAGACAGATTGGAGGAGGCTTGGAGCAGTCGTAAAAGGCCTTTTTAGGCGAGTTACACAAGCGTTTAAAGTGTTTTGAAACTCTTTCAAGACTTTGAAGAGCCTCACCAAAAACTGCGCTGCGACAATATTACAAATTAGTAACCCTTTTCTTCGTTTTCACCTCAAAAACATTACGCGTAAGCTAACATGTTCACGACTGTCATTGCACGAAGTGTCACAAGATGTCGACACTGTCGTTTACAGTAAACCTTGTATTTTTTCACTTTTTGCATATACCAGGATACTGTACCTGATAAACAATGTCCTATCACTATGTATGTTTCATTTAACATTATCATCGTAAATTTATAAATAATCTTACGCGACTGGTGCGGCGAGCGCGTGTGACCTTCGTGCGCTTGCGTTTGCATAAGGCACCCAGTTGGGTATGGGTTGGGTACGCAACGCCGCGCCCCCAAAGCCTGCAGCGCCCAAGAGCTTGGGTACCCAGCACAAAACTCTCTAATGATGTGCTCGCTCGCTTCGTTGCACTCTCCTAGTAGCGCCGGGTGTTACCCTTCCGGCACACACACGGTAGTACACACAAATGGAGCAGCTG